CAGGCCGAGCCTCATTTTTTTTGGCCGGGCTCGGCTCGGGCCCAAAAAAGCTCGAGCTGAGCCCGAGCTTTTTTTTTCTAGCTTGGCTCATTGACATAGCTATGAGATCTAAATACATGATTTGTCAGCAAGAATGGCAGGATAAATGAGTTGGACTATCTAATGGAGTAATAAACTGTCTCTAAGTTAGGGATGTTAGACCGACGAATCAACTTGGACAGCCCGACCCACGAAAAGCTCGAGTCGACTCGACTAGGGGCTCAGGCCAAGCCCAATTTTCGGGTGACGACCCGAGCTAGTTGTGCCCGCAAAGCAGGCTACTTGAACAGGTAGGCAGATGTAGCTTGTAGCATCACAAGAGAAAAAAATCGAGTCGGTTTGATAAGGTTTGAGCCAAAAGCCTGAGCCCAGCCATGGATTTAAAACTCGGCTTGATTCAAGCCAAAAAAGTTTGAGGCTATTTTTTGTAAGGCCGTGCACGAGCCGTGAATTTCGGCTCACTAGCCGGCTCGTTTACATACCTACTCTAAGTTGATTAATTTCAGAAGTGAAGCGACTTTTGACATTTTACTTTTACTTCAGTATTAATAGGAATAAAAATGATGTATTATAATATTTAAATATTTTATAGAAAAGGTTGACGTGGTGTAATTTCCACTTTAATTCTGCTTTATTAAAATCAAACATATATTTTTTCTTTAATATTGGATCTGGGTGGGGTGCAATTTCCCTATCGTTTAATTTTCTCCTTACACTACCTTAATAATGTGTTTTTATGGGCTTTAATATGGAGGAGCAAGGAAACCGTAATATATGACTATTCTTGAACCGTAATAGTTAAAAATTTCTTTTTAGAATTTTCTTCAAGAATGTGAACATTCCTAGAACAAGAGACATCTCAAAATATAATGGAATATTTCAGTGGTACATCTCTACTTACACAAGGGTCGGCCCATTATGGACACCCTGGAACCGACCCTCCCTCCAATGAAGAGGCTCCGGGTGTCCATTATGGACACCTCGATGTAAGAGGTGATGTACCCCTAGCATCTCCCAAATATAATATCGGTCTTGCAACTTGTACAACACATTGTATATCGGGGTGTACATCCCCCTCACATGGGGGTGGGACCCGCTTAGATTAAAAAATAATTTATGCAATGGGCCCCACACCCCATGTGAGAGTGATGTATCCCCCTATGTACAATGTGTGATGTACAAGTAGCATTTTTCAATATAATATATGACTATTCTTGAACCATCCTAGAAAAAGGTAATGTGATTTTTGAGTAATTTTTTAACTCAACATTTTTTAATAATTCCTTTTTTCTTATTTTAAGTAAAAAAACTATTTTTTTGGAAAGATACCTTCCTATCAAAAGAATGTTTGAGGAAATATTATTTGGTTAATTTTACCCTCTTTTTTTTTGTTTATTAGGTAGAGGTCACAATTTTATCGGAAAACTTTACATACCTTTATAAATTATAGGCTGTGAATTATGGTGGAATGTTCCCCCAAATGTGTTTCATTGCATCATTCGCTTATCTGCAACAACACTATCTTAACCCATTATCCATATAAATTCGAAGAACGCAACTTTAATAGAATTGTCAACACCGGAATTTGTTGTGAAAATCGACTCAAAATTACAATTGAGGAAAATTTGTAGTACTGACAGGGTGGAGAAATATTTGTCGTTGTACATAATAGATAGGCCCTATTTGTAGTTCATTTTTTTTAATACCTCGTTTCAAAAATAAAAATATTTGAAGCGTAATTAACACATTCTCTCACGTACAAGTTGTACTCACTACTCAGGTTATCAATATAATACACACACCACTATAACCAGTAGCGGTATATATTTCAATAAAAATAAATGATACATAAATTACGCGAAATAGAATTTAAATATTTAATTGGAGAAATCACATGGTGTTGTTAGCTGGACTTTGTTCTGTGATAAAATAGAGCACGTAGACAAATATGTCTTCTTTTCTATATGAGTATATAATATATTTGTAGTATCGAGATGCAACTTCCACATATCAATGGAAAAAAATTGTCATATATATAGAACAAGACAAATGTTGAAACTTATTTCAATGTTAGACAGGCTGTTCTATAGAACAAACAAATGTTGAAAGGTTCCAACTTCCAACTTCATTATGAATGTTGAAAGATTCAAAAGGTCTGGTTACAACGAAACTTTAGCTAATTCTTGGAATGAGGGCATTTTTTCTATAATTTTGAGCATGTTAAGCCAAGCTTAAAAATTAACTTATAAGTAAGTTTACATAAAAGTAAATAAGTATGCTTTAAATTGAATAATTTTTAATTGATCAAAATTGAAAGTAAGAGCATGTTTGATTATAAACATTTTTTTCTTGATAAAAGTAGACACAAAAATTCAATTATGTAGCATTCTCTTATTGGACTGTTTAAAATACAGTGAACTTTTTCATCAAATTATTTACTGGCACCTACACTTTTATCATTGCATCTGTCAAAATTCTTCTGACAAAGTAGCATAATCCACAAAATTATGGGTATTTAAATAGGAGGGTATATTCATCATTTCACAGTTTTTTATTGAGAAATTTGATTAAAATCGATAGAAATGTTGGGTTGTGCAATTAAATGTGTAATTAATGGTGAAAATGTCAAAACAAGACATGAAATGTATGGATTTTTTCTCAATAATTGTAAAAGGTAGGGATAAAAAAAAAAAAAAATTAAAAGGTAAGGACTTTTTTGCAATAATTGGGAAAGGTAGGAACATTATGTGATAATTACCCTTTTAGGGTGTGTTTGTGCCACATTATTTTGGAAGAATGTATTTTGAAATAGTAGATTGGTAGAGAATGTGTGGTTGAAAAAGAAGGAAAAGTAATTGATGTGATAGAAAATATTATTTTATTGAAGAATGTGTGATTGAAAATGAGTAGAAAAATGAGAATGAAAAAAAAGAATGTCCCAAACAGGGGCTTAATAATTTATTTGTGACTTATTTGGGCTTTTTAAAAAAATTGGGATTGTGATTGCAATTAATTTTTTTCTTTTTCTTTATTTTATTTAAAGAGAAGAGTATATTCGTCATTTCATAATTTTTAATTGAGAAAATAAGTGAAAATGACATTTTTTACGGTGAAAGATAGAAATAAGGGTGAGAATGCCATAAATAAAAGGTATAGACGTTTTCTACAATAACAATGAAAGACGCGAACGTTATATTCTAATTACCCTTTTATAAACACTTTCCAAGTAAGAAGTTTCAAAAATATCTTTTTGTTCCAGATATGCTCTATGGCTCTCTATGTAAGAGCCTAATGTGTAAGTTTCCAGTACTCCTCAAATCCTTTCTCTTGTAAAGTAAAACTAAAAATGAAGAGATCTGTGTATTGGACATTTTTGCTGCACATTATCTTGTTCGTCCATGGAAATAAAGCTGGAGCTTCTCAGCCTTACAGGACAGCATACCATTTCCAACCTCCCAAAAACTGGATGAATGGTATATTTTGTTGGGCATTTTTTGCCACCAATATGTATATTTATATTTCTGAAACTGATTGATTTTCTTGTTTTTCCATTTGTCTGAAACGATGATGGCTTATCAATGAACTTGAAGATCCAAATGGTAAAGCGTCTCTCTAGTCTCTACCTTCTGATGGTGTTTGCCCCCCTTATCTTGTTCATATCAGTTAGTAAATGTAATGTCCAATGAAGTGGCTAAAGAAGTTTCATAGTCGAACCTAAATTTATTAAAAAATAAGCTTAGTTTTGTTGTCGATAGTGGCATATCTGTTATGTTCATGTTCTACTTTTTGCTGCAATCATGTCGTATTTGTTCATAGGGATGTGGTCCTTGCATGACCTACAGTGCAATTTCCCCTTTGTTTAAGTTTCTGCTTATCTATCTCCTTAAACTACCTTAAGAATGTGGTTATATGGCTCTAATATGAAGCAGCAAGGAAACCGTACGTGTCCTAAAATAGTAACTAGGAGTAAGGCTAGAGACTTACGACTACATCTAATCTTATATTTCCTATATCATAGTAATTACTTGTCTCGGAGACAAGGTTTATGTCTTTTTCTAAGTTCGATGTACGATGTTTTCAATATTAATTACTGGGAAGAGTATGAGCAACCAATATTTTGACAATGCTGCTATGTTGTCAGTGAGTTTTTAACATCCTTCCTGACAGCATACTCACAATAGAGAGATCACTTTTTTGGCATTTTTTATTCACATGGATCTCACTCTCATGTGAGTGTAGGTCAATCAGGGTGTCAACTTCTTTTTAACAAAGAAGCTTAATTCATATTTTGATGGTTTTCGATGGAGAAGAAAATGAAGAAGAAGAATGTAAAGCACACTTATTTCTGAGTTCATGTTTGGGTTTGCAATTTTAGAGCGTAATAGTCATTCGACAAGATATAAGTTTCGTTTTCTTTCGTAATACCGTCTACTATTGTATATCACCTTACCAAACATATTAGGTTATGGACAGAGATGACGAATCTACTGCAAATATAGGAGTTTACAAGTATTTAACGTACTTACAACCAAATATGCTGTAAGTACCTCGACCTTCACATGTGACAATTACAAAACATGTTTTTCTGTTTAAATAGTATGCAAACTTAAACTAGGTCGATTCACAATCCTAACCCTCAATACATATTATTATATGAATTTAATTGTGATTTTTTTTGTCCATATTACTGTTTTGATTTATATTGGTACACTATTATGTCACACAGGGCCAATGTACTATAAGGGAGTTTACCATTTGTTCTATCAGTACAATCCCTATGCTGCAGTATGGGGTAACATTTCATGGGCACATTCCGTATCATATAATCTTATTGACTGGATGCATCTTGATGATGCTATTAATCCAACTGAGCCTTATGACATTAATGGCTGCTGGTCTGGTTCTGCTACAATTCTTCCTGGGGTAGAAAAACCGGTCATTCTATACACTGGAGATAATTTTGAAAACCACCAGGTTCAAAATCTGGCCGTGCCTAAAAATATATCTGATCCACTGCTTAGAGAATGGGTAAAATTGGATCGTAATCCACTGATGACTCCAGTTAATGGCATAGACCCGAAGATGTTTCGAGATCCTACGACTGCGTGGCAGGGATCAGATAAATTATGGCGTGTAATTATAGGAAGCCAAATTAATGGCCATGGAACTGCTACTCTTTATAGAAGTAAAGATTTTGTTAGCTGGACTAGGAGTCAGTATCCTCTTCATTCATCAAACAAAACAGGAATGTGGGAGTGTCCTGATTTTTATCCTGTTAGTAGTCATGGTAAAAATGGGCTCAACCCCTCTTTCAACAGTCGAGATACTAAGCACGTCCTAAAAGCGAGTTTTGGTGATCACGACTACTATGTAATAGGAAATTATGATTCGAAAATGGATTATTATAGGGCTGATGTTGATTTCATGGATAGTATTGTGCAACTTAGATATGATTATGGTCTGTTCTATGCTTCCAAATCATTTTATGATAGTGATAAAAAGAGAAGAATATTGTGGGGATGGGAAAAGGAGGCAGATGACGTCAACAAAGGCTGGTCTGGAATTCAGGTAATCTTATTCTTCCTACATTTTCTTCGTTTCTGTCCATTTAATTGCTTCTTGATTTTTTCACAAAATGTAAATTAGTCGACAACCTCCTGATTCTTGGAATTTTTTGGCAGTCAATTCCAAGAACTATATTTCTAGACAAAACAGGGAAGCAATTAGTACAATGGCCAATCAAAGAACTCGAAAAACTTCGGGAAAAAGAAGTCTCTCTTCAGAACAAAGAAATAAAGGGTGGAACTGTGTTTAAAATTGCAGGGGTCACAGCTTCACAGGTATCTGCTCTAATCCTCTTTCTTGAATGCTCTTATCGACTTCTTGAATTCCTCGTGTGATAGATGTAGAAAGATTACATGTTATCGTATCAGAAAAGTCTTTGCAGTTCTCCGTCTTGATTATCTTCTTTTCATAGTTTTTAGAACTAGATTTGATACTTTCAATCACAGGTTGATATCGAAGTTTCATTCAAATTGCCTAATTTAGAAGATCAGATCGAGTTGATGAATACAAAATCAGTTGATCCCCAACAACTTTGTATTCAAAAGAATTCTTCAGTAAGAGGGGTCCTAGGGCCATTTGGTTTGTTAGTCTTGGCCTCAAAGGATCTAACCGAACAAACTGCCATCTTCTTTCGGATATTCAAAGGCGATGACAAGTTTATTGTCCTAATGTGCAGTGATCAAAGCAGGTGAGGCTCTAAATTTAAATAAATAAAAGTGCCGTCAACCATATGGCCGTGTGATGTGTGGAACGTGTCTTGTCTTTCATGAAAAAAGGAATCTAGCGTGTACGTCCCTCTCCTACTTCTTGAGCTCTAATATTTTTATGCAGGTCTTCTCAGAAAAGAGACGTTGGCAAAAATATCTTTGGGGCATTTATTGATGTAGATCCTACTCAGAAAATCTCATTAAGAACCTTGGTAAGTGCCTCGTGTAAACGTTTCACTTGTAATGTCTGTTCTCTGGACATAAACTATTCAAAATGAACTTTTTTGTTTAAGATTGGAGAGCCAAATGTCAGGACCAAAAATTAGAATCTGTGTCTGCAAAATTTACCGTGAAAACCATTATTTTTGGTAATGTCAAATTTGATTCATTTATGATTTGTGCTTGTGCAGATTGACCATTCCATTGTAGAGAGTTTTGGTGGTGAAGGAAAGGCTTGCATCACTGCTAGAGTTTATCCTGAATTGGCCATTGATAACAAATCCCACCTCTACGCATTTAATTATGGGACAAAAACTGTTAAAATCAAGAGTTTGAGAGCTTGGAGCATGAAGAAAGCTCAAATGGTTGAATCTCATGAAGGAAGAAAGCCCCTCATAAATTGAGACAATTTCTAAAACCGTCATTGAAAGTATGTTCCATGCGCAGTATTGATGGGATTGGACAATATAATAAATATGATTTTAACTTATTGTTGTTCTTTAATATTAACTAGTATAATTCATTCTTTAAGTAATGAATGCAAAAGAGGATTGGACAGTATAATAAATAAGATTATAACTTCTTTGTTATCCTTTAATATTATCTAGTCTAAGTCATTTTACTATAGAAGTAATGAATGCCAAAGACATGCCAAATTAAAATGGCAAATATTGGTGTTCTTTCGAATACATTATATTATACGTCATCAATCGATGGGGTCGGTTTTGTTTGCTGCATTGTTCTTCTTGCTTCAAAACATGCTCTAGTTATATCTTAATAGGACTCGGGATGCACCCCCTACTAAGAGTATAGAGAGTACATGGACCTCATAGACTATCTTAAAATCAAAATAATATCGAGCAATCATCACTCAATATTGGTCAACGTCCTAGTCATTCGTAAATGTACCAAGAAATGCTTACCAAGTATGTACCGACTACTGATTTAGGGGGAAAAAGGTTTATTTAGTTAAATTGGAAGCCCCCACAATGAAGCCAAAGTCAGCTTAAGATTTCACCTTATGACAAAGAAGGGAAACAAAATGAAGCATCTACATAGGCTTTTGGAACTTTAGGTAAGCAAGTTTGCCTAGCTTAAAAAGTTTACATGAATAAATAATTTATTATTACGGAATAAAATTGAAAGTTTGTGAGTAATTAACAATGAGACTATAATTTCTTTTAAAATAAATAACTTTTGACTTATAAATAAAAAGAAAGTGAAATAAGGAAAGGCCATAAAGATGACAAAGTACTTAATGGCCATTAAAATTTCATTGAAATACTCAAAAGAGCGTCAACATTAAAGGTTGTGGTTGTCCAATAAGAGGCTTTCCACGTCAGCAAAAATAAAAAAGATTATTGAACATTCAGCAATATTTTTTATTGACCTTTAAACTCTAAAAAGTTTTTCGAATGGTTATTGAACTTATTTAATTGTTATTCCATTAGTCATTAAACTTTAAAACTGTTTCGGATGGTAATTGAACATATCAAATCGTTATCTAATTGGCCATTAAGCGTTACAAGTTTTTTGGATAGTTTTCGAACTTATCAAATCACCATTTCATCTATCACTCAATAACTTGTTAGAAATTACGATGGCAAAATTTGGTATATGCTGTCGTAGGCACCCAAAAGTAATACCTTAACCTCTAAAACTAATGTAGTAGTGGAAGTAAGGGTTGATCCCACGAAAAGTATGTAATTCAATCTTATACTTCGTACAATGATATGAGGGGTTTTTGTATTTAAAGAATTATAAATAACGCAATTACTAACAATGAAAATTAATTTAACGAAAATATCAAAAGACTAACATTGGTCTAAGTCCACATTCATCGTCGGAAATCCGCAATTGATCATAGATGCAATGATAATTCAATTCATATTTCAAATATTCACTGTTGGAAAGAATTCATATTTTTCCTTAATTTTAGTTAGTTAAAAATTAGTGTTCTAACTAACCCGAATTATTAAATAACCCCAAAATAATGCTCAAAATTCAATTTAATAAAAACTTTACACATTAGAGAAATCAATGAATCAGATAACACAAACACCAGCGGTTGCATTCAATCTATTTAAACATTCTTCTTAAAATTCAATAACCTATATCGCAAAAAATCATATCAAATTCTAGTGTTTCACAAGTTAAAGGAATCAAATAATCACGAATTTGATATTAAACTAAGCGGTAGATTGTAACGAATAACAAACTAGTAGGCCACATAACAATTAAACATAACAATCATGAAAATAAGTGTAGAAAAATATTCAATACACAAAATAAGAATTAAACAATAAGAAAAACTATTTAGATCTTACAATATGTGGTTCCGAGACTTTCGTTTCCTTCGACCAAGTGTGAAAGTTTGTTACAATTCATGAATCTAAGAGAGAAATAATGAAGAATGGAGTTTGGAGGCGTTTTGTACGTTCTGATTTTGTTCTAGGGTTTTAAAATATGTATTTATAGTTATTTCCATATGTAGTTGACTTAATTTCGAAAATCAGGTCACATGGAACAAGTAAACTCAGCCCTCAAACTCTCGGAAATGGTTTGTGCGGTCGCATGGAATTAAAGTCATGCGACTGCATGGTTTTACGAAACTTCCTCCGGATAGTTTTCAATATTTTGGTCATATCTTCTTCTCCCGATATCCGATTGAGGCGATTCAAGATGTGTTGGAAAGCTAACTCAAAGGGATACAACTTTGCTTAAGTTATTAATGAGGTATTTTTTGATGAACAACTGTTGCAAATTATCCACCTTTTGCAAGTCACTCATGTACCATGGTATGCAGACCATGTCAATTTTCTTGCGAGTGGCATCATACATCCAGAGCTTTCTTTTCAATAAAGGAAAAGGTTCTTCACTGATGTTAAGCATTATTTTTTGGAAGATCCTTTGTTGTTTAAACAGGGCTCGGATCAAATTATTCGAAGATGTGTGCTGGAGAATGAAATGGAGAAAATTCTTGAACAATGTCATTCCTCTCCATATGGTGGTCACTTTGGTGCTGTGAAAACTGCATCAAAAGTATTTCAATCTGGTTTCTATTGGCCCACATTATTTAAGGATACTCACACACTTATCTCCAAGTGCGATAGATGCCAACGTACTGGGAATATCTCCAACAGAAATGAAATGCCTTTGAATTCCTTATTGGAGGTGGAGATTTTTGATGTGTGGGGTATTGATTTTATGGGGACATTTCCATCGTCATTTTGAAATTAATACATACTGGTGGCTGTTGACTATGTGTCAAAGTGGGTAGAAGCGGTAGCTTTACCTACTAATAATGCTCGGGTGGTCGTGAACATTTTAAAGAAAAATATTTTCTCTCGTTATGGCACCCCTTGAGCCATCATTAGTGACGGAGGTAAAAATTTTTGTAATCGCCTCTTCGACTCCCTATTGGCCAAATATGGGGTAAAGCATCGTGTGGCTACACCCTATCATCCCCAAACGAGTGGCCAAGTTGAAATTTCAAATCAAGAGTTAAAGAGAATTCTCGAGTTGACCGTTAATGCATCGAGAAAAGATTGATCCAAGAAATTGGACGATGCGTTATGGGCATGCCGTACTACTTTCAAAACACCGACTGTATGTCTTCATATTGTCTTTTATTTGGGAAAGCATGTCATCTTCCCATCGAACTCGAACATCGAGCCTATTGGGCTATCAAAGCATTAAATTTTGATGAAAAATTGGCCGGTGAGAAGAGGTTGCTCCATTTGAATGAACTCGATGAGCTCTGCCTTGATTTATATGAAAGTGCCTGGATCTATAAAGAAAAGACAAAGAAATAGCACGATCGAAACATTGAGAAGCGGGAGTTTTTTATTGGGCAACAAGTTCTTCTGTATAATTCTCGACTCTGGTTGTTCCCCGATAAGCTTCGTTCTAGGTGGTCGAGTCATTTTACCATTGTTAAAGTTTTTCCACATGGAGTGGTTGAGCTGCATAATGAAAAATAGAGGAATTTCAAAGTCAATGACCAGATATTGAAACCATACTTGGGAGGTAACTTTGCGAAAGAAAAGTCCACCGTTCTTCTTGCCAATCCGGAGTAAAGATGACATATAGTCGAGCTAAGGACTATAACCAAGCGCTTGTTGGGAGGCAACCTAATGTTTTTGCTTTTATAACTTCTTGTTATTACGTGTGGTTAATACTTTTGTTATTGAATGTATTTTTGAACTGATATCATTATTTTTATAGGCAATTTTTACAGTTCCACATGTCTATGGTTTCTCACAGGTTATGGAATCCTTGGTGTCCAAAGAGGTCTTTTCCCAAGCTACTCAAGTGCGTAACAAGTCCAATACATGCATTGGTACCTCTTCACAAATGTGCAATCAGGGAAGTCTCATTATTCCTCTTTCCTTTAGCTTGTTCTTTACACATTGAGGATAATGTGTGGATTAATTTTGGGGGTATTATTGAGCCTTGTCGGCTTTTGTGGAATTGATTTGTTGTTAGAGGTTTGCCGGCTTTTCAATTTGTGCTAATATTGGTGATGTGGTATTGACATGTTAGATGGTCTTGCCGGCTTAGAATTGCTTGATGTTTGAAATTGTTATTAATTCATAAACTATGATTGGACAAATATGCTATTTGTGCGTAAATTTTTTCAAAAATTGCTTGTTCATGTGAGATCCTAAGTTATATTGAGCACAATAGTCATGATTAATTGTTATCTAGATGTGGTAATGATTGTTTGAT